CTAGTAAGTATATTAAATATGCAAGACCATAGGAAAGTGTTTCTTCAATAAAAAGTTTAGAATCAGGGAAACCTGAGTGGCACAGTGGTTGAGCATCTGCCTTCAGCTCAAGGCATGATTCTGGGGTCCCAGGATTGAGTTCCACATCGGGCTCCCTGTGAGGCACCTGCTTCTCCCTCTGCCTGTGTCTCTGCCTCTTTTCTTTGTGTCTCTCATGAATAATAAATTAAAAATATTTTTTAAAAAAAAGTTTAGAATCATTTCATATACTTTTTTTTTATTTTTGGTATCATGCTCCAATAACACTTAGGGGATAAAATATCTCTAATCTGTGGATCCATGTAGAAATCACTTTTCATTAAGAATATACAACCAGAGCACCTGGGGGGCTCAATGGGTTAAGCATCCGACTCTTGATTTCACCTCAGGTTATGGTCATGAGATCAAGCTCCAAGTCAGGCTTCACATTGAGTGCAGAGCCTACTTAGGATTCTCTCTCCCTCTCCTTCTGCCCCTCCCCTCACTTCCATGCACTCTTTCCCTTTCTGAAAGAAAGAAAAGAAAGAAAGAAAGAAAGAAAGAAAGAAAGAAAGAAAGAAAGAAAGAAAGAAAGAACCATACAACACTGTGATTGATTCTTACATTTAAAAACATTATTATGTTTACTCATGTTAAATATGATAACGAAAATTTAAAGTTCACTTCCTGGGGTACCTGAGTGGCTCAGTCAGTTACACCTCTGCCTTCAGTTTAAGTCAGGATCCCAGATCAAGTCCTGCTCAGCGGGGAGTCTGTTTCTTCCTCTCCCTTTCCCTCTGCCTCTGTCTGCCACTCCCCCTGCTTTCCTCTCTCTGCCAAATAAATAAAATCTTTTTAAAAAAATTTTTAAATAAAGTTCACTTCCTGAAAACTGAAAAAAATCACATTTATCTCAAAAAGAAAGGCCATTTCATGATTTCTAATTATCTATTTTTGCTCTACCCATTCAACCTTGCTGTTCTGTTTCATTGATAGAACATTATGCTATTGATCCTTTGGCTTCTATTGCATTTGCAACTTGTAGGGGTTGTTTTTCTTTTACATATTTGATTAGTATTTCTTATATTAACGACTGGACATATGCTAAGTAAGATATAATCCTCTTTTAGCTTCAATCAATATAACAAAACTGAGGCACCCATAAGGATTTTCACATCTAGTCTGGTTGCAGCCCTGCATTAGTGCTGCTGAATCTACATACTGAAAACAAAGAAAGTAGTTTTGAACAGGGCAGGCTGATGACACTGACAAGCAATTGTTATCTTCTATCTAGGATTCCGACAAGAGGTTGTTATTCAAGATTGCTTAATTTAAGCACTATTAGAATTAACAGTCTTTTTATCATCTAGAGAGCAAAAATTGGAGCAACTCCATTTAAAAGTGATTCTATTCTGATAAAGATATATACAGCTTGTAAATCAACATATAATCCAACATACATAACTCCATTTAAAAGTGATTCTATTCTGATAAAGATATATACAGCTTGTAAATCAACATATAATCCAATGTACATAATCAACCAGTTCCCCAAACCTGAAACAAATTCAGTCACCACAGAATAAATTAAGGACTGAGCACTTCAGCAATTTTAAGAATTTCTTCCTTCCACATCTTTCTGCTCAAGTCTTATGTAAATGGCTCAATGAAAATGACCTTTGGATTCTCCAACTCTTTTTTTTTTAATTTTTATTTATTTATGATAGTCACACACAGAGAGAGAGAGGCAGAGACACAGGCAGAGGGAGAAGCAGGCTCCATGCACCGGGAACCCGACGTGGGATACGATCCTGGGTCTCCAGGATCGCGCCCTGGGCCAAAGGCAGGCGCTAAACCGCTGCACCACCCAGGGATCTCTCTCCAACTCTTTTTAAGCAATTATCTTAGACCCTTTGACTTTACCATTGATCTTAATCTCTCTTCATCACACAGCCTACAGAGCCCGTAACATTCTTTCCTTTGCCTCCAGTTTTCAGCCTAGCAATCACTTCTGGAACTTAGTGACAGAACCTGGTTTTCCTGCTTTTCACTTTTGCACTATCCTAAAATACAACTTGTTCTACCTTTCTTGACTCTTTCTACACTAGTTCACCCTGGGAAAGCAATACGCCTGATCTCATACTGTAACCTAACGGCACCCTTGCCCAGCAACCTGACTGGTTCATGAATTTCCACCTTAAGATAATCCATACACTTTTCCTAACCTTTTTTTCCTTATGATTCTCATTCAGAGAAAAAAAGAAAAACTATTAAGGAGCAGTAACACTTCAATTTGCCTGAGATTCATCTAGGAAAAAAGAGGAAGAAAGTAGCTGAGTAGCTTACATGTACCTTCTTATATAACATGATTTACCCTTACTCATTCTCTGGTCAGCAGAGTAGGATTAAGAACCCAGTGAGAAAAGAGAAAAAAGAAAAAAAAAAAAAAAAGAACCCAGTGAGGTAGATTTTTTTTCCCCAAAGTTAGTGCTTATTTTCTTAAAAAAAAAACACAAAAAAAAAAAAAAACAAAGAAAACTCCTTAGTCAATTTTTTGATTATTCAAGCAAACCAATTCATTTTTAAAAATGATAAAAGCCCTCAAGTATCTATCCTATCTCTTCTATGTGACCATACCCTAACATAACCAAACAGTTGAGAAGGAAAAGTTTCTCTTTATAGAAGCAGGATACCTCCTAAGTAAATAACAAATAATAATATAATTAAAACATCATCATTTTGGAACTGTTAAGAAGTTAATAAAGCTAGACAATGATCAAAATAGGTACTAATGTCACAGAGGAGTCAAATATTCATGTCCTCTCATTGAAGTACACGATATTACTAAAGAAGTGTTTTTATTTATCAAAGAGTCAGAGTCTTATTTAGCCTTCAGATCTAAGTACTAAGTCATAAGAAACATAGGGGTTGGAGGACAAATTAAATGACACCATGGTATTTCAGTTCTTAAAATAATATAATAATTATGAAACTCAAATACTCATAAAATATATCTTGTTCAGAAAAAGCAAAATTAACATTGACACTGAGAACATCAAAAAAAAAAAAAAGCCATGAACTAGAATACTGAATAAGATGCAGGAATTTCACATATAATTGTCATATATAACTGAGCTGTAATCCCTGAAAGAAAGCAAATAAATGAATAGAGTGAAGAAACCTCCCCCCTTGTAAGTAGGGCCAGCCCTAATCCAGAAGCAGCCCATCCAGCGCCTTCCTGAAATTTTAGCAACTAAAAGCATTCTGTTTACAATAAGAAAACCGTTCCCCCCCCCACACCCTGATTGGAATGTCCCTGAATAGGTTCATGTTGACCCTCCCCAAAATCAACCTGGATGCCATGCGACTCCCGCGGTTCTTTTGTCTTTAGGCAGTTTCTTTCCTTTTGCCTTTTAAAAGATCCCTGTAATTGCTAATCGGGGCTCTTTTCCTCCTCGGAGGCGGAGAGCCCGTTTGCGCAACCGTTCAATAAACCCTCTTGCTGATTGCATCTGCCTGTCTGGGCCTGTCTGGGGTCTGGGTCTCTGGGGCGTCCACCGGGCCACGTTGGCACCCGTGAGCCAGGGTCCAACATTTGGGGGCTCGTCCGGGATCTGAGACGCCCCAGACTCAATCCTAAGACCGGTAGGAGGTAAGACCGAGCTCGCTAAATGTCATATCTGTCTCGTCCGTTTGTCTGACTGGCCGGGTCTGTTTTGTGCCGGGTCTGTATTGTGCCTGCAGGACGCTGTACTCTGTATTCTGTATTTGGACCAGCGGGGGAGGCAGACGTGCCCGAGACCCCTGGTCCCCCTCCGGAGTCGGACTCCGGAGTGGTCTGGAAGAGGAACGGAGCCCCGGCACTCCCTCCTCTTCGGGGAGGGTCGTGGTTCGCGACCGCTCCCATCTGAATCTGCCGCGCCAGTCCTGTCGTTCGTGTGCGTCTGTTCGTTCCGTGTTTTTCTTCCTTTCCTGTCCTCCTCCTCACCGCTCACCCCTTCTCTACACCCATGGGGCAGACTGTAACACCCTTTAAGCCCGCTCTAGATCACGGAAAGAAGTGCCGGCCGGGCACACAATCTTCGGTCGAAGTCAGAGGTACGCAACGCTCATCGAGTCTGCCCCGCCAGTCCTGTCGTTCGTGTGCGTCTGTTCGTTCTGTGTTTTTCTTCCTCTCCTGTCCTCCTCCTCACCGCTCACCCCTTCTCTACACCCATGGGGCAGACTGTAACCACCCCTTTAAGCCTCACTCTAGATCACTGGAAAGAAGTCGCCGGCCGGGCACACAATGTTTTGGTCGAAGTCAGAAGACGAAGATGGGTCACCTTCTGCTCCTCAGAGTGGCCAGCTTTCAACGTCGGGTGGCCCAGGAACGGAACTTTTAATATTGATATTATCTTGCAGGTGAAGGCCCTGGTCTTCCAGTCAGGACCCAATGGACACCTCGATCAGGTGCCGTACATCATAGTATGGGAGGATCTCGCTAAGAATCCACCCCCCTGGATAAAATGCTTTGTCCCTTCTCAGGGGGGACCGGCCCGAGACCCTCACCCCCTCCCTGCCACACTCCCCCAATTCCCCGCCCCTCCTCTCCATCCACCCTTTGCCCCCTAAAATTTCCTGAATCAAAACCTAAGGAGCCGCCTGTGCTCCCAGGGGACCAGGACAGTCTCCTTCTCTTGGACTCCTCCCCTCCCCCTTATGCCCAACCCCCAACGCCCCGCTCGGAGGCCCCTACCTCTCCCTCCGCTCCCTCAGCTCCGTCCCCCGACTCTACGGGGGCAGAGGGGCCACCCCTCGCTTCACCCCCGCTCGCCAGTCGCCTCCGCTTCCGGCGAGAGCGCGGGGGAGAGTCGGAAGACGTCTGGACCTCCCAGGCATTTCCCCTCCGGTCAGTAGGCGGCCAGATGCAATATTGGCCGTTCTCTGCCTCTGACCTTTACAACTGGAAAACTCATAACCCCTCCTTCTCCCGAGACCCCCAGGCGCTAACCGGATTAATTGAGTCAATTCTGTTGACCCACCAGCCGACCTGGGATGGCCGCCAACAGCTCCTGCAGACTCTCCTCACCACGGAGGAGAGACAGCGCGTCTACCTCGAAGCTCGGAAAAACGTCCCGGGGGCGGATGGGAGGCCGACCCAGCTGCCTAATGAGATTGAGGATGTTTTCCCCTTGGTTCGCCCGACCTGGGACTACGACACCATTGCTGGTAGGGAGCGTCGTCTCTATCGCCAGGTACTCCTAGCGGGTCTCAAAGGGGCAGGGCGTCGCCCCACCAATTTGGCAAAGGTACGTGCTATAGTGCAGGGAAAAGAGGAGACGCCGGCAGGTTTTCTGGAGAGGTTAATAGAAGGCTACCGCATGGATACTCCCTTTGACCCCTTGGCTGAAGACCGCCAACCAGATGTAATTATGTCCTTCATTGGACAGTCGGCCTCGGATATTCGTAATAAGTTACAACAGTTGGAGGGACTTCAGGGGTACACCTTACAGGACTTAGTGAAAGAGGCAGAGAAGGTTTTTAACAAGCGAGAAACCCTAGAGGAAAGGGAGGAAAGGATCCGTAAAGAGCAAGAGGAACGGGAGGATAAGAGAGATAAAAGACGTAATAAAGAGCTGACTAGGATACTGGCCACCGTAGTACAGGGCTCAGGGCAGAGTAAGTCAGGACAGAGTAGGGACCTGGGAGACAAAAGAGGACCACGGGTTGAACGAGACCAGTGTGCCTACTGCAAGGAAAAAGGACATTGGGTTAAAGATTGCCCAAGGAAGGGCCAAACGCAGGGACCTAAAAAGAAGCCCATTCCTGTTTTGTCCCTAGAAGATGAAGATTAGGGGTGTCAGGGCCAGGAACCCCCCCCCCCCGAGCCTCGGATAACCCTTAAAGTGGGGGGACAGCCGGTGACCTTCCTGGTCGATACGGGAGCTCAACATTCAGTTTTAACTGAGGCAAAAGGACCCTTGACCTCTAAAACGTCTTGGGTTCAGGGGGGCAACTGGAGGCAAGTTATATCGATGGACAACCGAACGGAAGGTCCACCTGAGCACTGGGCAAGTAACGCATTCCTTCTTACTGGTCCCAGACTGCCCTTACCCTCTCCTAGGCAGAGACCTTCTTTCAAAAGTAGGGGCCCAGATACATTTTCAGCAAAAAGGGGCCACTATTACTGGCGCGGGAGGGCAGCCCCTCCAGGTACTGACCTTGCGCCTAGAGGATGAACACCGGCTGCACGAGGACTCTCACCGTCCGTCCAGCCCCTAGATTCTGAATGGCTCACTAACTACCCTCAGGCCTGGGTGGAAACGGCCGGAATGGGACTAGCTGTAAACCAGCCGCCCATAATTATAAACTTAAAACCCTCGGCCACCCCCATATCGATCCGGCAATATTCAATGAGCAAAGAGGCCAAAGAAGGCATTCGGCCACATATACAGAGACTATTACAATTGGGCATTTTAATACCTTGCCAGTCGCCCTGGAATACTCCTCTATTACCCGTAAAAAAACCCGGCACAGGAGATTACCAGCCGGTACAAGATTTACGAGAGGTTAACTGGAGGACAGAGGACATACATCCCACGGTGCCGAATCCCTACAACTTGCTCAGCACCTTACCCCCAAGCCATGTCTGGTATACGGTGTTAGATCTAAAAGATGCATTCTTTTGCCTGAGGTTAAGCTCTCAAAGCCAGCCTATTTTTGCTTTTGAATGGAAAGATCCTGAGACGGGACTCTCAGGACAACTCACTTGGACAAGGCTGCCGCAGGGATTCAAAAACTCCCCTACTTTGTTCGATGAGGCCTTGCATCGGGATTTGGCAGATTTCCGAGTTGGCCATCCGGACCTCATCCTTCTGCAGTACGTGGATGATTTGCTCCTGGCAGCTAGGACAGAACAGAATTGTGTAAAAGGTACGGGGGCCCTGCTTGAGAGACTGGGAGAACTGGGGTATAGGGCCTCCACCAAAAAGGCCCAAATAGGCCAGAGACAAGTGACCTATCTGGGATATCTCCTGGAAGGAGGCCAGAGGTGGCTGACGGAGAGCCGCAAAAAGGCTGTAGCCCTGATCCCAGCACCCACTAATGCCAAAGGACTACGAGAGTTCCTCGGCAGTGCTGGGTTCTGCCGCCTCTGGATACCCGGGTTTGCGGAGATGGCGGCTCCCCTATATCCTCTCACGAAATCCAACACCCCCTACCACTGGGGAAAGGAGCAGCAATTGGCTTTTGACAAAATAAAAAGGGCCTTATTGACCGCCCCTGCCCTGAGCCTCCCAGATGTAACCAAGCCTTTTACGCTATATGTTGATGAACATAATGGAATAGCCAAAGGGGTCCTAACTCAAAAACTGGGACCCTGGAAAAGGCCCGTGGCATACTTTTCAAAAAAATTAGACAGCATTGCTGCAGGATGGCCCCCATGTCTCCGAATAATAGCGGCTGTGGCAGTCCTGGTAAAAGACTCAGACAAGTTGACTTTTGGCCAACCCCTCACTGTGGTGGCCCCCCACGCCGTAGAGACAGTCATCCGCCAGCCCCCTGATCGATGGCTCTCAAATGCCCGGGTCACCCATTATCAGGCCATGTTACTGAATTCTGAGCGGATACAGTTTGGAACGGCTACATCTCTAAACCCGGCCACCTTGCTTCCAGAAACCGAGTCCCCCTCCCTAGTAATGCATGATTGCCACCAGATCCTAGCTGAAGTCCATGGCACCAGAGGGGACTTGACGGACCAGCCTTTGCCAGATGCTGAAGCAACCTGGTACACCCATGGGAGTAGCTTTCTACGAAATGGCTGGACAGAAGCTTTCCCCACCAAGCGAGAAACCGCCCAGGTGGTTGTCAAGAAAATCCTGGAAGAAATTTTCCCCCGGTTTGGACTGCCCAAGGTAATAGGGTCAGACAACGGCCCCACCTTCGTCTCCCAGGTAAGTCAGTTGGTGGCCAGATTACTGGGGATAAATTGGAAATTACATTGTGCATACAGACCCCAGAGCTCAGGTCAGGTAGAAAGAATGAATAGAACAATTAAAGAGACCCTAACTAAATTGACATTGGAGACTGGCACTAGAGACTGGGTCCAACTCCTCCCTATGGTTCTGTTCCGAGTCCGGAACACTCCCGCGCGCCATGGGCTAACTCCTTACAAGATTCTCTATGGAGGTCCCCCACCAGTAACGGACTTACTAGATTCTGCTATTGACCCTCTTGCTAACACTCCCGGTTTACAGGACAGGCTAAAGGCGCTCCAGATTATCCAGCACCAGAGCTGGAAACCCCTTGCGGCTGTCTACCGCCCGGGAGACACAACCGGCCCACACCCGTTCCAGATCGGTGACTCTGTCTATGTCAGGAGACATCAGTCCAGGACGCTTGAGCCCCGCTGGAAGGGCCCATATACTGTACTACTGACCACCCCAACCGCCTTAAAGGTAGACGGCATTGCTGCTTGGGTCCACGCCTCACACGTCCAGCGCGCCCCATCAACGAGCACCGCTGACACCAGCCAGGACCGGACGAGCCACTCCAATGGAAGCTCCACCGCACCCAAAACCCGCTCAAGATAAGACTTTCAAAAATTGTTCAATGACAGTTGTTATATTCCTACCTCTCCTAGCGCTCTTCACCTCCACCAAAGGTGACCCTCATGCCCTCAAAAGGTTAACCTGGCAGGTACTAACGTCTGGGGGTGACGAGGTCTGGTCTATAACTAAGACCGCCCCCGTGGGAACCTGGTGGCCTAACCTATACCCTGACCTATGCAAGCTAACCATAGGGGCCCCTAGCCCATGGGACCTCGAGGGATACTTCGACACCTCTAGAGCCCCTAACCAAGAAAGCCCTCCAGGGCGACTGGGATTAGACCCATGGGGAGGATGTGGCACGCCTGATAGAAGGGCCATGCTAAGCACTCTTCCCTTTTATGTCTGTCCCGGGCACCACAGAGATCGCAGGCTAAATCCCACCTGTGGAGGAGGGGAATATTTCTATTGTAAAAATTGGGGGTGCGAAACTACTGGGGATACAGGATGGAGGCCCTCCTCCTCCTGGGATTATATCACTGTCAAGGCTAACTATACTCACCCGACATTTAGCAAATGGAAAACCCTTAATTATGGGCCCTGTCAAGGGTGGTGTCATCCCCTACGGATATCCTTCACGGAACCCGGAAAAAGGGCTACTTACTGGGCCAATGGATATACGTGGGGACTCAGGTTCCATGGCGATTGGGCCTAACGCGGCCCTCGGGGAACAAAGAGCTCCTGCTAAACCACTAGCCCCGGCCCTAGCCGCAGGGAGTGCCACACCCACTCACTCCAACCCCTCGGTCGTCACCCGAGACCGGACAAATCTTATCATAGGGGCATTCCTGGCCCTTAATCGAACCAGCCCCAATGTAACTAAATCCTGCTGGCTCTGCCTTGCTCCCCCCCCCTTATTATGAGGGAATTGCTACTTCAGGGACCTATAATAACATCACTAGCACTCAGGGATGCACACCCGACTCCCAACCACAATTCACCCTTACAGAAGTTACAGGACAGGGAACCTGCATAGGAACACCCCCCCGGGGCTACCAGAGACTCTGCAACACTACCACCCCGATTTTGGGGACTGATTCTTACCTGGAGCCCCAGCCGGGAACTTGGTGGGCATGCAACAAAGGCCTCACCCCCTGTGTGTCGGCTAAGGTTCTAAATAGCTCAAACGACTTCTGTGTCATGGTGCAGATCATACCCAGGGTGTTGTATCACCCTGCTGAAACTCTAGAAAATCAGTATGATAAACATCCCACCCGTTTTCAGCGCGAACCTGTCTCCCTAACCTTAGCCGTTATGTTGGGACTAGGGGTCGCTGCTGGGGTGGGTACTGGAGCAGCTGCTCTGATCCGGGGCTCACGACGTTATCTAGAACTCCAAACAGCTGTAGATGAGGATCTACGGACAATAGCGCAGTCCGTTTCTAAGCTAGAACAGTCCCTCCCCTCACTTTCAGAAGTAGCACTTCACAACAGGAGAGGCTTGGATTGACTATTCCTGAAAGAGGGAGGACTGTGTGCGGCCCTGGGAGAGGAATGCTGTTTCTATGCAGACCATTCTGGAGTCATCAGAGACTCCATGGCCAAACTCAGGGAAAGGTTAAATAAAAGACAAAGGGACCGGGAGGCCCAGCAGGGCGGGTTTGAAAGCTGGTTTAATCAGTCTCCCTGGTTGACCACCCTAATCTCGCCCTAATCTCTGGGCCCTCTAGTTATCCTGCTCCTGCTGCTAACTTTCGGCCCCTGCGTCCTCAACCGGCTGCTCCAGTTCATCCGAGAAAGATTGTCTATTACCCAAGCTCTGGTATTAACTCAGCAATGTCGAGCCCTCCAAACTGAAAAAATAAATGTTCCCTAAGATTTTATGGATAAAATCAGCCCAAACAAGAGGAGGGAATGAAGAAACCTCCCCCCTTGTAAGTAGGGCCAGCCCTAATCCAGAGGCAGCCCATCCAGGCGCCTTCCTGAAATTTTAGCAACTAAAAGCATTCTGTTTACAATAAGAAAACCGTTCCCCCCCCCCACACCCTGATTGGAATGTCCCTGAATAGGTTCATGTTGACCCTCCCCAAAATCAACCTGGATGCCATGCGACTCCCGCGGTTCTTTTGTCTTTAGGCAGTTTCTTTCCTTTTGCCTTTTAAAAGATCCCTGTAATTGCTAATCAGGGCTCTTTTCCTCCTCGGAGGCGGAGAGCCCATTTGCGCAAACGTTCAATAAACCCTCTTGCTGATTGCATCTGCCTGTCTGGGGTCTGGGTCTCTGGGGCGTCCACCGGGCCACGTTGGCACCCGTGAGCCAGGGTCCAACAAGAGACCTGTTTACAATGTTTTTTCTAACCTGATCTTTAATATTTTGAGACAACACTTAAGGAATCAAAGCCTAGCAGCTGTAGAACATAAAAATATAAGCATTTTTAAAGGACAGATGGACATTAAACAACAAGAAAAAATGACTTGAAAATAAAGTAATATATGAGTAGATAAATCAACAGAATTTTTTAAAATATAATTACTATTATGACTATATCAGAAAAAATTAGGTTCATCCTAATGTTACAGAAAACCCAAATTTACAGTGGCTTAAACACACAAATTTTGTTTTTTATCTCTTTCATTCAGAAAAAGCCCAGACTTGGTAAAACAGTTTAATGAAGTAATCGGGAACTCAAATTCCTTCTAAATTTTGACCTCACCATTACTTTATGTGGTCTTTATCTACATATTTTTAAACATTGCTGGAGCTCCTGACATTATGCCAACAGGAAGAACAGAAGGTACATTCACTTGAACATAATATATACCTACAACTTATCCCTAATAAAGGGATATAAATGTAAGATATGGTAAAATGACCAACCTATTTTAAAGGAGGCTAAAGTAGAGTCTATATTCTGGGTAGTTGAATATATTTTTATCTGTCCCAGCTTTAAAAGAAATCATTGATTCTTTTACATTACCAAATGAGGAAAATAAATCACGGAAGAAACTCAGTCTCGGTCACAATTATAGAATTATCCATCTAGGATATTGTAAACTAAAAGAAAAAGACTGAAACTAGAAAGTTCAGCAATCCATATTTCAAGAATAGTTTTTTTCAACTCATATTTTTTAAAAGATGTTATTTATTTATCTGACAAAGAGAGAGCACAAGCAGGGGGAGCAATAGAGAGGGAGAAGCAGACTCCCCACTGACCAGGGAGTCGGAAGTGGGACTCCATCCCAGGACCCTGGGATCATGACCTAAGCTGAAGGCAGACATTTAACTGACTGAGCCACCCAGGTGCCCTGCAATCCATATTTCAAAGAATTAAAAAAAAAAAAAAAAGTAAGACCAACTAAAGATAAGGTATGGGGGAAGGCAATAGGGAATAAAAGGAAGTTAGTGGTCCAGGAGCTAACTCTATGCCGGCTGAACCCCTCAAGGACCTACTCTGATGTTTCACTGGACTGGATTTGTTCTTTTATATAAAAGAAGCAGAAATTAAAAGTAGGAAACACCTTAAATTACCCTTGACAGATATTTATTTTAATTAAAAGAAAATAAGGGTAAGTAAGGGTAAGTGGAAACCCACCACTAAATGCAAGAAATGTGAGATGGACTTCCAAAGCATTTGGTTTGCAGCAGTACCTGCTATGCTTTTTATCTAATGGAATTAAGACAGTCTATGTAGAGCATCCATCCACTACCCTAGTTTTACAGGTGAGAATCCTGAGGTTCAGGGAAATGAAGTGATTTATCCAGGGCCACAGAGTGAATAAATTTTAAAACTAGGACAAGTGACTCTTGAACAGTATGAGTTTAAACATACATTTTTTTCAATAAATATAGTACCAGTACTGTTAAAGTACTTTCTCTTCCTTATGATTTTCTGAGCATTTTCTTTGCTCTAGTTTACTTTATTCTAAGAATACAGCATATACTACACATAGCATAGAACATGTGCTAATTGTATATGTTATTAGTAAGGCTTCCAGTCAACAAGCTATTAATAGGTAAGTTTCTCGGAAGTCAATTTTATATGTGTAGTTTGAATGTGGGGTGTTAGTGCCCCTATTTCCACCCTGTGTTATTCAAGGATCAACTATACTAGATAGAGAAACATTCTTATTTATATGGATCTGAAACATAGTTAAAGATGGTCTTGGCAGCATCTAGTTATTC